CGCACCACCACGGCTATGCCGTAGGGCACGCTCTGGCGCACCCCGTAGCCGTGGCGCATGCCGTTGGTGAACTGGCCTTGGTACGTCCCTGCGGGCGGGAAAGGGCGCGTCAGTGCGGGGCACCACCGGGCTGGCGTGGGCAGTGACCAGAGTGTGTGCAAGCGCTGGAGCCGGCCAGGCCATGAGTGGCAGAGTGCACGTTTTGGGGAGTCCTTGAGGTTTCGAGTGTGGGAGAACACAAGCAGAGTGAGCAAGCCAGGCCAGTCTGTGCAGTGGTGTGACTGTCTCCTAGTGGGAACACGGCAGGATCACAGATGTACAAGCAAGGAGTCTGTGAATCCCGTCATCGGGGTGTGAAGTTGTATAATGGAGGCTCCGGGGAAGAATGAGGTTAAAGGAGTGTGCTAGCGCAAGAGGGGACAAGCCAGAGGGAGTTTGCCAAGTGGTGTGACTATTTCCAGAGAACATGCTGGGGTCACAAGTATGCAAGATGGAGCGAAGTGTGTGAATCAGAGTGTTAAAGTGTGAAGTTATCTGAACAGATGAGGTTCTGAATTCAGATGTGTGTGTGAACGGAGCTTGGATCACACTGAAGAGCATAACTGCACGGACATGAGCGGACAAGACAGGATTGTGCAATAGCATGACAGTTTGCAGGTGGGGGGTATGCAAGGCAGTGTGTGCACAGAGGGTGTCTGAGTCCATGTGAGCGAGGCACAGTAGGACATAGCGTAAAGTTATGAGAGCATTCAAGGTCTTCATTGTACAAAGACAGGTAGAACTGCATGAGCGTGCAAGACTGAAGAGTGCAACGCAGTGTGAACAAGCAAGGCCCTCTGTCTTACTACATGAGGTTAAGTACACATGCACAGCTACACAAGTGTGCAAGGGGATGTGAATGATCAAGGCCATGAACAGGTCAGATAGCAAATTTGCATAGTGTGAGTGGGAAAGCATGAGCTTGTGAGAATATTTGTGTAAGATTATGTGTGTAAGAGATCAGTGGGCACACACATCAGTGGCTTTTGACTGAATGAGATCATGAGTGTGCAGCACTCATGATGGGGCGTGCCTACAGTCCCATGAAGGTGACATCATGGATGTTTATGAGGTTGAGTGAACGGCTCTCTGTGTGTCATGGCACAAAGTATAGGAAGCACTTGAGCTGAGCGTGTGAGGTGTGGGCATCAGTGAAACTGGGACCACACAAGACCATGCATATGCAGGATGGTGATGTGTACAGGTCCTGCACGGACACAGGTACCTGAGCTCCCGGGAACAGGACAGCTTGTGTTAGTAGCCGCTCAAGTCTCATGTGAGTAGAGTCAATGCAGAAAGGAGCACAGACTCCAAATCCTGCTTCTGCCCTCACTAGCTGTGTGACCTCGGGCAACTGGCTTAACTCTCCCTGTGCCTCAACTTCCTCCTCTGTCAGGGATGACAATTACCTCTTACCTCTTAGTGTTTTCTGAGGTTTACATAAGTTAGTATCTCTGAAAAACTGAAAGATAAGATATGCATGTGATTCTGTGATTCTACACGGTTGTTCCAGTGTGAGATCACCCGAGTTGTATGAACAAGCTGCAGAAGACTTCACACTACAGCCCCAGCCTTCTGGGCGGTTCTTTCCAAGGGCTCCATCCCAAGCCATGCCTCATTCTCCCTGGACAGTTCCATCATCTGTGGTTTCTTCACTGCCGCATATGTCCAGGTGACTCCCTAAAACATGTGCCGAATCCCCTTTCTGCTGCTGCAGATGTTAGCCTAGAGGTAGATGTCACACAGCCACACCTTTCAACACACACACACACACACACACACACACACACACACACACACACGTACACATGCACACGCCCCCCTGCCCCACCCTCTTTCCTACAGCAGCCCTGAAAGCCCTCTCTCGGTGGGTAGAACAGCACAGGGATATAACCTTCAGCCTTTCTTTTAAACACACACTGATCCTTTCCCTTGGCTAAAGAAAACTAAATGATCTTTGCTGTAGTTTGGATCTTAGAGTCCCCCAAATATCTGTGACATCTTGGTTCCCAGCATGGAACATTTAAGAGGTGGAGGAGAAGGTCTTCAGGTCTTTGGGGTTCCTCAGTGGAGACTGTGGGATCCTGGTCCCCTCCTCTCTCTCACTCCCCAGCTCTGCTCTACCACAAACTGCTTCCGTGATGAGCTGCCTCACCACAAGCCTAACAGGCAACAGGGCCAACTGATCATGGACCACTGGCCAAGGGCCCAGATCAGCCTTTCCTCTCTATAAGTCATTTTCACAGGTATTCATTCTGTAGTAATGGAGAACTAACTAAGTGGCCATCTTCCCAACACAGTGTTCGGCTGGGCAGCAGAACCAGCCAACCAGGGAAGAGCCCAGGCTCAACCCAACAGGCTGCTGTCCCCTAGGCCTTGGCATGGGCTGTTCCCAGCCACCTGAGACTCTTTTCCTCCAGTTACCCTTCACGTTGTTACCTAATGGGGCCTGCCAGACCACCCTCTTTAAAACTGCAGTCTTTCCTGCACTCCCCACAACCTCTCTCCCTGATTGAGCCCCCCACTCAAGTTGTATCCCCTCTTACTGCCTTTCTTGCTTTTCTCCCCATGCCTAAATGGAAACTGCAGGAGGTCAGAGGTCGGTTCTCTTTTGTTCTCTGAGGCAACCCCAGAACCTGGAGCAGTGCTTGGCACCTAGAGGTGCTCTGTTAATCTCTCCTGAATGACTGGCTGACCTTTCTGGAAACTCTATCACATTGAGTGATCTTGGGCAACTCCCTTTCCTGAGGCCTTCTTGCCCTGGCTGTCAATGATACATGGGGTGGGGTGCTCTCTAGGGTGTGAACTAATGCTGAGCTAGTGGGCACTGGGGCACTGTGACTCTGGGGGCAATACATGTCCAGGTGTCTCGCCCTGCCTGGTCCCTCTCAGCATGGGGTACTCTAGCTCCAGACCTCTGCTACCCTGGCCTGGCCCTTTCTGCCTAAGAGCCCCGTGAAGGATCATGTACAGTGCTGAGGGCTCACTTAAACCTCTGAGCACTCCTGTGAAATAAGTCCCTGATTATACTCAAGTCCAGGAGAAGAAGCAGATGGTCTGAGAGTTGAGCACTTTGACCAAGGAAGCAGGATCCAAACTGTCTTCTACCAAGACTCATGCTTGAGCCAGTGGTTCTTAATACTGGTGCTATTAGAAGCATCAACTAGCTAATCCTTGCTTGTCACCACCAGAAACATGGATTAATTGTGGGGAGAGTCCCCCTTGCTTCCAGCAGCTCCATCCAGCAGGCAGAAGCAGCTAGGAGCGAGAGAGACCTCAGTGCTCACCTCCCTACAGTGAGCAGCCATGGAAAACCAATGGTCATTGAGTGTCTGCTACATACTGGCCAATGAAAAGTGGTGTGAGAACCTGGGGATCTCCTGGAGAAAGGTGAAAACAGAACCTCTCTTGCATGGGCCGATGGATGTGTAGAAAGCATGTGTCCAAAGTGTTAAGACCAAGGGAGGAGCAGAAGTGGGGTTTGAACTAAGACCCAGTTCAGGCTGTGACATGGGATTGTGTGGCAGGTGCAGTGAGCAGAGAACTGAGAACGTGGTACCCAAAATGAGAAAATGGGAGATGGAGAGCAAACTTTCCCATTTCCCCACTCACTCACGTGATCCCATTGGGTAGAAAACAAGGGACAGAGTGGAACATGACTTCTAAGCTATGGAAGCCTGGACAAGTCTTTTGTTTTGTTTTGTTTTGTTTTCCTCAGTTTCCTCACCTGGAAAATAGTACCCACCTTCCAGGGTTTTCTTGAGGATTAAAAATGACGCAGCAATAAAGGGAAAAAACAACCCAACATCCTGGCACACGGACGAACTGCAGTGCAGCCACCCGAGGGGGTACCTGTCGCAATTACAAGGAGGACTACTCTGACACCCCACAGGAATGGGCCTCAAGATTGTGCCCAGTCAGCGAAGCCAGAGACAGAAGAGCACAGACTGTGTGATTCTAATGACACCAAAATCTAGAAAAAGCTCACTGACGTGGCAAGGGGTCTGTGGTTGCCAGGGGCCAACTGTGCAACAACATTGTGTCTCCGTGGAACTGGTATTTGTTTACACGGACAAATACATCTGCCAAGAATGTCCCTTAAAATGTATTTTGTTGTATGGAAATTACACCTTCATAAAGTTGATTTTTTAAAAAATAAATAATTAATATATGACTATGCTTTTTGAAAAAATAAAACCACTCCATCTGGTGTTCTGCAAATATCTATCAGGACATCTTACACCTAGAATCCAGCCACGGCTCAGCATCCTCTGTTGGACTGGTGGTCAGAGCCACCGTTCTCTCTTACCCAGATTTTCCTAATAGCTGCCACGCTGGCCTCACGGTCCTGCCCTTGCCCCTCCCAGATGTTCCTAACAGCAATCCGAGGGGCCCTGCTCTAGCTGCTGGTAAGTCAGCTCACAGCTCTGTTCTTCTCCCTCAGAGTAGAAGCTCAACTCCTGCGTGACCCGCGGGGTCCTGCTTCGTCTCCCCTCCGTCACTCTGCTGTCCTTATCTACTCACATTCTCCTTTCCCTCCCGCCACTCTAGGCACGGAAGCCTCTTGCCCGTTCCACCCACACACCAGCAGTGGTCCTGCTTGGGACCTTGGCATTTGCCCATCGCTCTGCCTGGAACGCTCTTTCTCAGAAACCTACATGCCTCTCCCTCTTGCTATTTTCAAGCCTTTACTCATCTTCTCAGTGAAAGTTGCCTCAATCACAAGTTTAACGTGATAATCCCCAAAGTTTTCCATCTCCCTTCTTTGCTGTGTTCTTCTTCACAGCATATGTAATATATTTTATTGACACGACATATATTTTATTAACCACCTCCCCCACTGTTGCACAAGCTCCACAAGGCAGGATCCCTCCCCCTCTGTTCTGTTCTCTGTGGTATCCTCAGTGCCTAGGACAGCGCCATGCAGGTACTCGGTGTTTGTGGGAGACGTGAATGAACAGCGTGCGTTCCACAGCTGTCTATTCTGTCTCTGTTTTATCCATCTGAACACAGCTCTGTGAAAATGCCTGGAGAGGTATTTGATGGTTC